AAAAAAAAAAAAAAAAAAAAAAAAAAAAAAAAAAAAAAAAAAAAAAAAAAAAAAAAACAGAGTCCAGAACAAGAGGAGGAAGATACACAGCCAGCTCGCTTGGGTGTATACATATAACGTAAACGGGAGAGAGGCGTTAATTAGTCCGCGACGGTGGCGAGTTATGCACGGAAGAGAAGAGGACGGGACAAAAAGAGGATAGGTCTCGCGTTCCTGGAGGCGAGAGAAATGGAAATCCGTGATGCTCGGGAAGTTCGAAGGTGCGAACGATATAATTATCTTACCCCTGGGGAAGCCAAGGAGGCAGCTATACCCACATTTGTCTCTCTTATTTGCGAGCCGAGATATATACCGCGATTCGGGAAGGCTTGCATTTGGGTAATCTAGATTTTCCACCGAACATTTTTCTCAATCGGCCAGAGTACTTGTATTACTCATATGCGGGTAAACAATCATATGTATACGCTTGTACGGAGGTGGTGATAAACGTCGTGGCTCGAGAGATGGAAAGTCCAGAGAGAAAAGAGCGGTGTCCGCTGAATGCGAAGCTAGTGGAGTAAGATGATGAAATTGGCGAGTTATTGGGTATCGGCACTATATTATTATTGACATACGGCGGGCGATAAATTTCCGGGGAGGCCGAAAGTGTCTCTTTTCTTTCTCTCCAAGTAAAAGTAAAATACGGTACACATCCGAGTTTGGGCAAAAAAGTGTTAGGAAAAATGTTGCGGAAGCTCATACGGGAGTATATAATATGTATTAGGCAAGCGCGTGTGGTCCGTGTATTATACGTAGAGACGGAATTTTATGTGCAAATAAACCAGAGTCGCCCCGTGTTGTGCCCGAATATCCGTATATCGGAGGGGCCGAATCAAAGCAAACAGGCCATTAATTCTGCTAAACTTTCCACGCCCAGGCTATCCCGAACTGTGTGTGTGTATAAAGCTGTGCATAAATCGCTCGACAAATCAGAGGGTATTTATACGTATAGAGTTCCGGGATGATGCGAAATTTCAAGCCTACAATAGATCGGTACAATAGCTGAATTGTAGTTGTCACAATAAAGTTATGGATAAAGTATTACGTATACCCTTAGGGCCACGGGAAAGTGTACGTAGAGATGGGAAGAGGTCGCTGAACCACCGGCTTCGGGAAGAAGTTGCGCGAATCACTATACTTAATTATATGTTGCGCGTCTGTATACAATACGTCCCTCGTTAGATAATACGTCGGTTGATTCCGAGGTATGGGGTATACCTATACTCACACACGCGACAGATAACGCTCGTAAATCGATAAATGGACTGTTGCACGTGTCTCGGTGGAAGATAAATGAAAATTTTCCCGTGTCCGCAAGTTGATGTGTCGTGTGATGAAATTGAGTAGACGCGAATATATTTTTGTGCGGTGTATCGCGACGAGTTGACAAAACGAGCAAAAATTTTAATCGAAAGTGACGATCAGTCAGCGGAAAAGCCCGAGTCGGCTGATTTTTAATCAAATACAAACAGTACACGGGTGTATCTCGCTGGTACTTTGAGGAGAAAAAGTTTACTTCGATATCTTCGCAACGGTGTCTCGACAAGAATACGATGCAGTCCCGAGAGTCGAGAGACAGCAAGGTTGCAGTGTAGCCACCGCGTGTGCGGATGAAGGACAAAATAAAAGGAAAAAAAAAAAGAGCACTGTCGAGAGGCTTAAAACAAAAGGGGGCCAGGTGGGCAGCGTTGAGATGAAAAAACGCACGAAATAAACGATGTGTCCCACTCGCGAATGAAGAGCATCGGGTGCCCAACGATCCGATGCGAAAGATATACTCGCGTCGTACTAGTTCGCAGTCGTTTGTGTTTAATCTCTCGAGGGATAAACTTGCCCCGCAGTAAGTACGTGCCCTATAGCCTTTGAAAATAACAAATTCCAGTCCGTGCACGTGCGTATATGTAACAGTATCAACTTTTATTATGATTCTTTTTTTTCGCATCACCCGCCAAACGGATACACGCGTGACCAAACGCCAAAGTCTAGGATATCCTTCTGCAGCTCTTGATTTTCGAGGCTTTTAAACGTGATGAAAAAAAAAAAAAAAAAAAAAAAAAAAAAACTGCTTCTACAGGATTAGCATGAAAAAGAAATGAATCTGCAAAGAGGCGAAAAATTCCCAAAGATAAGGCGACACGCGCGCGCAAACCTGCCTGTCCCCTTTGGAATATTACACAACCGAAAAAGACAGAGAGAGGGAGGGAGGGAGGAAAAAAAAGACCATCTTATCCCACTTACTTGTAAATCTTGGAATCCTGCCACCGACCGAGCCTCCGCCTGAGCTTGCCGGCGAGTCTCTTGAAGGCAAAACTGTTCCACGCGAACTCGTCGCCACTGGTCTTGTGTAGCTGCTCCTCGTCGCCGACCCCCTCGCCATCCCCTTCGCTCTTCGTCCTCGACTCGGCGGCCTCGCGCTCGAGCATCTCCTCGTGCAGCTTCATGTACTTCTCCTTGGCCTTGGTCAGGCCGTTTTTCGCCGAGCCGAAACCGTACGGGCAACCCGTGCTGGCTACCATCCCCGATTTTTGCTGCTGCATCCCGCCTATTGTACTGAACACCGTGGGCGCCGCTACTGACAGGGGTGGGTTCTCGTCGGCCAGTTCCTGGGAGCTCGCGACCGTGCGCACACACATTTCAGATGTCACGCCGATTTTAGATCCTGGATCGCGGCCCCTGGATCGAGTATCGGTAAATAATTCCTCGGCCACCCGCCCCAACTTTTACTGCCGGTCCTCCTGCCCGATACACCCCCGCTCGAGTATCTCGTTCCAGAGGGTTGCACTTGACCGATCACGCGTTCGGTTGAAAAAAAAAAAAAAAAAAAAAAACGGAAAGGGGAGTAACTCCGGGCGTGCGTGGCCCGTAGATCGGTAAAACTAGGTGATAACCGATTGGTATTTGCGCCGCGCACCGGGATCGGGGGTGACGGGAAACGGTGATTGGAGTATGGGTACGGGACGTGTGTATTGTATGTACGTACAACGCACGGAGGAGCACCGGCTCGGGCTCGCTTGGACACTTGTCGCGGAGTGCGCTGCTCTCGGTCGGCGCGCTTCCCCTTTATACCTATCCGCGGCTCACCACGTCGCGCTACTCCCTCTCCCTGTCTCTTTGAGAGAGTGCGCGCCGGCGACGTCACGATGTATATCCCTCCTCCTCGTCAACGAAACTTACCGAGTGTGTATATATCAATCGCCAAGTTTAATGGAGGTGGTGGTTACTTTATACGGCGTTTATAGAGGGAGGGTTCCGTTCGGTCTTTCTCGAGGCTCTTATTTTCCCTTAGGGGTGGTTTTCGTCGAGCTTGAATTTTTTTGTTTTTTTTTTTTTCTTTTCTTTTCTTTGTTTCAAAAGGGTCAAAAGGAAAGAATCCCGTTTGAATTTGGCACAAGGAGACTTTAATTGAACTGGCCGCTGATGCCGATGCAAAGCGCGTTGGCGCTCTAAAATAGCGAATATTTGTTCCAAGGATTATGATGTTATGTGAAGCGGCATTGCCATCATTGCCACGTTGTGATGAGCATCTGTAATCTGCTTCCACGTGAATTTTCATTTTGTTCTAACCCAAATGCCGCTACGTGACTAAAAGCAGGTAGTATAGCTATTAGGAACATTAAATTGTCATTACTGTCGTTTCAACGATTATCATTCGAGTCTGGTACAAGAAATATTTTTTGATAAATCCGTTAAACAAAAGGGGGAAAAAAATGACCAAATGCTTATCAGCAGTTACGCGGTGTGCGTGGCACAAGTTATTACCCTTGAGATGAGAAAAAAAAAAAAATTAACCCCAACACTGCACCGATGCTATTGTGCACCCGTCGTGGGTGTCATCATCAATAATTATCGATTACGTGATCCCGAGCAACTGAACGTTCTAGGAGTTCTGAAACACATATTAGTATATTTTGTAATACCCACGTCATACATCATAAATTTTACGAAACGGAAGAGCAAGCTTTCATTGAACATTTCTCCGTTGGGCCGTTTATGCGAGACACGCGCGAGTATTTTTATGTGAATTTTCCCGGCCAAAGTGTCCGTCAAACGTAAATCACGCGCCCTCAACTATGGCCGCCGCGACACACACGTGGCGTTGATGTTCTGCTCTGATAAAAGTCATGCGCTCAAGCACAAGCAACACTGCCAAAATGGATGCTTCGCGAGCTTTTTTGTATTTCACTCGGGTGATGCGTCAAACTAATTTAAATAAAATTTTTTTTTTCAATTTCGAGGATTTTGAATTTGAATTTTGAATTTGAATAGTTTATTGAGGCTAAGGACTCAGGGTCCTTAATAGCCAAAGCTTAATACATTGCCTTACATTTGGCGGAAATAGTAGGTACGCAGGCCCGCTTACATTGTTTGAGATTCAAGCTGTGTGTCTAATCTAGTGCATATTAGTAATTAAGATAAGAGAAGAAAAAAGTATAGATAAATTTAACATAANCTGTGTGTCCAATCTAGTACATATTAGTGAATAAGAAGATAAGAGAAGAAAAAAAGTATAGATAAATTTAACATAAAATTTGAATAAAAATAATATAAAATTCAATACTGGAGTGCAGTAAATAAACAAAATAACTAATTGTAATATCACATCCCTCAATTGAGCCGCAAATCTATTGATTCCAAATATTGCAAGAGGTCGATCTTGAAGTTGGGAAGTTGAGGATAAGGGAGATAGGCATTTTTTTCCAAGTGTAAGCTGGTTGCTCGCGTTTGCCCCATCGGGGAGGGGAGCCGCCGTACGTTATAACATGAGAAATCCACATTGAGCTCTAAATCAATTTTCATCATACTGCGCCGAGAGAAGGGATTTTCGTTCCGCGAAGCGGGAAACAGGATTGACGAAAATTCGTATAAAACCCACGGAAGGAAACCAAGAATCCCTCAGATCGCATGCTTATCAATTGCCTGCAATCTGAGACATTCTTTATTTTTCTTCCCTACGTGAGTAGTATACTATTTTGGTCTATTCGTTACAAATATTCCTCCGTTTTATTTTTAGATGGTTACAACAAATTATGAGTTTCTCTTCTAAGCAATTATTATTTTAATGTTAACGGGAATAACGATGATGCGCGAGTGAAACCGTGGCTGGTTAATGACAAGTGTACAGGTATATAGAAAAAAACGGACTTTGATCAGAGCTATCATTGTTAAAATTATCGCTGCTCATTGAGTTGACCGAACGCATGAGCTCATCCGTACAATTTCATTGGAAACGGTGAATATTACACGATGGGTACTGAAACGCAATCTCTCTTCGAGTTTTCGGTTCTGCTGTATGTAAATATATGCCCCAAACAATTTTATTTCAAACTCACGCGATTTACTGCAACGTTGGACGCATTTTCTTTTCTCCCTCCAGTCATTTAATTACACTTGTCTAGTCGAAAAGTGAGGCGTTTTTTCATTGCTTTCAAGGAAACTCTATCTGTAAACAGGATGTCTCGAGTCCTTTGAGCTTGAAATAGCCACCAGATGTGAACTGTAACGACCTGGGGTCGCTATCACCTTAGTACTCTATACCCCATACGACGAGATACAAGGGGCTATTCCGCTGTAGACACCCCTCGCAAATACACCGTACCCTATTTTGATCCCGGGCTATTAAACGCGAGCTTAAGCGCGAACGATTAGTCGACGCCTATGCATGTGTAACATCGTTATTAAGTAATTGCACTTATCGCCATCTAATCCATATCATAGTTGACGCAAAGCTTGAACTTTGTTGCGCGCTTATCTCCCCTCTATACTTTTTTTTTAGCATCAAAATAAGAGATAATACATTCGCGGATGCAATTGCACCTTGTTCAATGTGTAAATTGCTTTTGAAACGCAGGATGTGATAAACGTGGTTTGTTTTTTTTTTTTTTCATCAGGAACTGAGCAGCGCAATCGCCCTGTATATGAAAGACCTTGAGGGGGAAGTTGACGAAATTAAGATGTATGAAACATTAGAACGTGGCTGCAGATTGTGTCATCCTTACACAATGATGATGACAACAGTGATCTTCCCCAATTGAGCACCACAAATATAAATATACAAGTGAGTTTGTACGGATAAAGGGGTACTGTGTTGTTTCACATAGAAAAAAAAAAAAAAAAAAAAATGGGTAGACATCTCTCAGAGACCGATTACATCGTGATGGATATTATATAAGTACCCGCGTATGTATTAGGGATGCAATATTTCAACGATGTATGGATCAAACGGATTCCATGGCATCTCGTCGATTAAAATGTACGGCGATTAATTCACGTGTCGTACGCGCATGCATGTACCTATATATACTCGCCTATGACATAGCAATAAGTCAAGTAATCGAGCTCGCGGGGCGTTTTGTATTTGCAAAATGGCACACGGCCTAATTGTGGTTAACGAACGTTTGAGTTTGACGTGCGTGAAGAGTGCGGTACTGCACGTAGACACATCATCATCGCATGGTCCTGTTGAGTTGTTGCTCGCGGGGACCTCGCGTCGTAAGGTCACACATATATATATATGTACTTTAGCTTCCGAGCGGCAATGACAATTTGTCGAAATTCGAAATTGATCGGCCGTGATATGATAGCTATGTAAAAGTTTTTATATGAACGGCGTGCAGTGATGGCGTATGAATATAACCATGACGACTATCACTATCATTTGGTTTCAACTATCATTTTTATTTTTCGTCTTCGTTGATTGAAAAATTGTTTTTTTTTTTTTTTTTTTTTTTTGAAAAGTTATTGAATGACTATTAATTCAATTTAAAAGTTATAAACCAATATCACGTTGTAACTCGACTTTTTTTTGTTTAATAATGCTCCGTTTTTCGAAATTAAAAAAGATCATTACTTTGTACGTATTGTATTTAGACTAAATATTAATTCATTTAAAAAATACGTTATCGACAAGGTGAAAAAAAAAAACCAAGTAAAACTACTAATTTACACGATAAGACTCGTGCGATTAAAGTAACGAAGCACCACCAATAATTAAATTTCTAATGATTTTTTTATTTTTCTTTTTCAAGTGCAAACCAATAGTTTCATCATTATTTACAGGGTAGTCATTTGCAATAATAGCTTCACAGTGCTCAGAACCCGAAATCGATTAAATACTACGAAAATACTCTGTTCGCATGCCTGCCATTGTAAATCCACGCGTTTGAAGTACTTATGTAGTTTTCCGTAAGATGCATTAAAGTAACGGCGATAAACGTTTTGAGAATAACCAAACCGATACTTCTTCGTAAACGTTTCGTCTAGTTTGTTGAACTAAGGAATCTACTTTTTCCAAAAATTGATACGAAAAGGCTGTATCTATAGAGTAAATCATTTCTGTCACTGATTTAATACACTTGCGCTAAATCTGTGGCAGCCAAGGTTTTTCATTAGTTTTCCCCCTTCAAAAAATTCCCAGTTAAATAGAACTATTCAATGATACTTGGGTCACCATAGCTTTGGTTGACCTTCAAATTCTTATCAACGCAAAGGTGCAATCCACCTGATGAAAAAGAGAAATTTCAACTTATACTTTGTAAACGCTCTTTCAGCTTACTCAAGCGAACATTTTGGACAAAAAAAAAAAAAAAGATCTGCTTGCAGCTTGACTTGGGAGTTCAATAAACAAAGCACAGGATCCAATGAAAAAGTTTCGTAAAAAAAGGAAAAACCTCACCCGAACGCGGAGCGATATTTTTCACACCGAAATTTCATAACCGGCCATCATCCCGCGAGCCACGAGACAATCAATCATCAACCACGTCCACGCACCTACCCACCAATTCACGGGCAAACTCGTCCTATCGTCGGCCGATCTTTCGCGCGCGCTGCAGCCATATCCCGTGTATAACGTCATATACATATATATAGTTACAGCGTGATCGGTATGCGCGTATGGTGCGTGTGAGGGAGGTATCGCGTGCGCACTTACTTACGTATGCAAAAGAGGGAGGCTTCACGAGGTGGTCGCCGAGTGAGGTCGGTGGCTTTGTCTCTTTCTTTTTTTTTTCCT